ATATGTGTACATAAGGTCGTCCTACCTGCTTGTTCCCATTTTCACTTACCGGTGGTGAGTCTGACAGCAACTTTTAAACAGAGCGTGCAGGAGGAGAATTTGGCTTGTGCAGGCTCTCGCACATGTTTATTAAGCGTTCCCTTTCCGGAGCGGGTACAGGGTTGTGCATGTGCTTTTTTTTTTTTTTTTATGTAGAGGGCGGGTTTTTTCAAAAATTAGCAAAAATCCTCCGTTATACCTTTAAGTAAAGCTGTACACTAGCTCCTCACACCAGATTTGCTGCAGACTACTAGGAGGAGATCTCCTCCTAGTAGTCTTCAGTCTAGACTGTCATCAAGCCATGGGACCAGAACAGAGACATTACACTGAACTGATACAAACAGGAATGGATGCTCAGTTAGGCTCAGTTAGAATCAGTGGAAGTGTGCGCGGTCACCATGATAGGTTCTGTCCAAATAGTGGTGGCAGTAAGGAAGCAGGAAGCTTCCTATCAATAGTTCATGTAGCATAGGGAGCTCCGCCCACCAGGAGAATAGCCCATATACATAATATAAGACTAGACCCTGCATCGATTGCTTTCGCCTATGGCTACTGACGGGATCTGGTGGCGCCATCTTGGGCGGTTGACAGTTCCGCTCTGTAATGTGTTGAACATTTTAATCAACTTTCACTCACTGAACTTTGAACTCATTTTCATGGTTGTTGATTTGTTAAAACAAACAAATGATTCAGTGCGTTTGAATATCCTTTCGTGTGGTTAAGAATAGTAGAATATTGGGATAGGATATATGTATGTTGCAAAGCACAGCCACTCATAAATATTTATATTTCTTTATTTCTATATACACAAACACATTTTCACAGGTTTACAGATATGTATATATAAACATATCCCTCAGTTTGTATATTCATATGTAGAGAGAGACACAGTGCGACAACTGGAATCAGAGATCATGCATAAAATCAAATGATCTCATTTTAAGGCACAAACATCAGCTTATTTTACTGCTTTCATTAAGAACAAAGGCTCTTATTTTTAGAAATATTTGTTTTTTTTATGATTAAATTTTGTTGTTTAATGGAGGTCAAGGCGATATGTGGAAATAATAACTACATCCCATGTTGTAAGCACATTTTTGGTTTCATTGGTTTTTTGTTGGAAAACACAAATAAGTGTTTCTTCTGCTTTAGTTTGTTGTTTTCCAATTAATTTTACACTTGTATTAATGTTGGGACTTTTATCTTTGAAAAGATAAATCTTTGTGTAAAAAAAAAACATTATATTTTGGTCTGTCTGATAATGCCGTTTTATAAAGTCAATCAGGTTGAGATCAGTAGCAGATCTTCTTACCGATGTTTTTCACTGTTATTTTTGTCATTCTTGGATTACTTTTTACCTAAAGGTTTTCAGATCACTCCATGGATATAAAAGCTTCCTCTCAAAGAACAGAGTTTCTCTCTATAATTGCAGTTATTTAAAACGGAGATCATTCAGGGAACTCCTTCTGATTAAAATAAAAGCCACTGTTCTGTTCTAGCAGGAACAAAAACCATTTAAAGTTGGTA